TAGGCAAGGAAGTAAATGAGATGTATGCCAAATTTTGCAAAATATATGATAAAGGCACACAAACATTCATACCAAAACAGACATGCAGACCTAGGAAACAGGGTTGGTTCAACAGAAATTGCGAGAGTGACAGAGATCAAAACACACAAGCATGGCATCATTATAGGAAGAGGTCAAACCCCCAAACATACCAGAGATACAAAGATGCAAGAAACAACTACACGTCAATAAGGAGAAAGGCAGAGAGGAACTTTGAGAGCGGTATAGCAGACAAATGTAAATCAGATCCAGGCCTTTTCTATAAATTATTAAAAGTAAGCTGCAGATAGAGGATAATATTCAGAAGTTGAAAATGGGGGACAGATACACGGAAAATGAAAAGGAAATGTGTGAAACATTAAACGAAAAGTTCGAAAGTGTGTTTGTACAAAATGAGATCTTCAGAGAACCAGACACAATAAGAATTCCAGAGAACAACACAGAGCGTATAGGTATGTCTAGAGATGAAGTGGAAAATATGCTAAAGGAGCTAAGTAAGAACAAAGCAGTTGGTCCAGATGGAGTTTCACCATGGGTTCTGAGAGAATGTGCATCTGAGCTCAGCATTCCACTTCACCTGATCTTTCAGGCATCCCTGTGCACAGTAATCGTAGCTGATGTGTGGAAATAGGCTAACATAGTTCCAATCTACAAAAGTGGCAGCAGGGAAGACCCCCTCAATTATAGACCTGTATCATTGACAAGTGTAATAGTGAAATTATTGGAAAAACTAATCAAAACTAAATGGGTAGAACACCTGGAGAGAAATGATATAATATCAGACAGACAATATGGTTTTCGATCTGGAAGATCCTGTGTATCGAATTTACTCAGTGTCTATGATCGAGCCACAGAGATTTTACAGGAAAGAGATGGTTGGGTTGACTGCATCTATCTGGACCTAAAATAAATGCTTTCGACAGAGTTCCACATAAAGAGGTTGTTCTGGAAACTGGAACATATTGGAGGGGTGACAGGTAAGCTTCTAACATGGATGAAAAATTTCCTGACAGAAAAAAGAGGGCCGTAATCAGAGGCAACGTATCGGATTGGAGGACTGTCACAAGTGGAGTACCATAGGGTTCAGTTCTTGCACCGGTAATGTTCACTGTCTACATAAACGATCTACCAGTTGGAATACAGAATTATATGAACATGTTTGCTGATGATGCTAAGATAATAGTAAGGATAAGAAACTTAGATGATTGTCATGCCCTTCAAGATTACCTGGACAAAATAAGTATATGGAGCACCACTTGGCAAATGGAATTTAATGTTAATAAATGCCATGTTATGGAATGTGGAATAGGAAAACATAGACCCCACACAACCTATAAATTATGTGAGAAATCTTTAAAGAATTCTGATAAAGAAAGAGATCTAGGGGTGGTTCTAGATAGAAAACTATCACCTGAGGACCACATAAAGAACGCTGTGCGAGGAGCCTATGCCACACTTTCTAACTTCAGAATTACTTTTAAATACTGTACATGGATGGCTATATACTAAAGAAATCGTTCACGACTTTTGTTAGGCCAAAGCTAGAATATGCCGTAGTTGTGTGGTGCCCATATCTAAAGAAGCACATCAACAAACTGGAAAAGGTGCAAAGACATGCTACTAAGTGGCTCCCAGAACTGAAGGGCAAGAGCTACAAGGAGAGGTTAGAGGCATTAAATATGCCAAAACTGGAAGACAGAAGAAAAAGAGGTAATATGATCACTACATACAAAATAGTAACAGGAATTGATAAAATCGATAGGGAAGATTTCCTGAGACCTGGAACTTCAAGAACAAGAGGTGAGAAGGTGGTGGAGGCCAAGACCATCAGTAGTTTCAAAGTGTTATATGACAAAGAGTGCTGGGAAGACGGGACACCACGAGCGTAGCTCTTATCCTGTAACTACACTTATGTAATTACCAGTGCTAACTATAGTACACTAGTGCAAGATATAGTACACTAGTGCAAGATATAGTACACTAGTGCAAGATATAGTACACTAGTGCAAGATATAGTACACTAGTGCAAGATATAGTACACTAGTGCAAGATATAGTACACCAGTGCAAGATATAGTACACCAGTGCAAGATATAGTACACCAGTGCAAGATATAGTACACCAGTGCAAGATATAGTACACTAGTGCAAGATATAGTACACCAGTGCAAGATATAGTACACTAGTGCAAGATATAGTACACCAGTGCAAGATATAGTACACTAGTGCAAGATATAGTACACCAGTGCAAGATATAGTACACTAGTGCAAGATATAGTACACCAGTGCAAGATATAGTACACCAGTGCAAGATATAGTACACCAGTGCAAGATATAGTACACCAGTGCAAGATATAGTACACCAGTGCAAGATATAGTACACTAGTGCAAGATATAGTACACTAGTGCAAGATATAGTACACTAGTGCAAGATATAGTACACTAGTGCAAGATATAGTACACCAGTGCAAGATATAGTACACCAGTTTAAGATATAGTACACTAGTGCAAGATATAGTACACTAGTGCAAGATATAGTACACTAGTGCAAGATATAGTACACTAGTGCAAGATATAGTACACTAGTGCAAGATATAGTACACCAGTGCAAGATATAGTACACCAGTGCAAGATATAGTACACTAGTGCAAGATATAGTACACTAGTGCAAGATATAGTACACTAGTGCAAGATATAGTACACTAGTGCAAGATATAGTACACCAGTGCAAGATATAGTACACTAGTGCAAGATATAGTACACCAGTGTAATCACATGTCAATTTACTGTATATTGTAGTTATTTTTTTATATAAAACCTGGCTACAACGCACCTTTTCACCTTACCTGAAATGTTAGATTAAGGCCATGGCCGAAATGCTATGCATGTTTGTGGCTTGGCATGAATAGTAAAATACCAGTCTTATATAATCTCACCAATCCATTGTACCTTCTAAGGAATAAAATTATTATAATAGGTACTTGTTCACTCACAGGGTTATAAATCCATGGAACTGCCTACCTGCTGAAGCCATAAATGGTAAAAAACTGTTGGGTTGTAAAATACAAATGGAAAAAAGAGCATTAGGGCAAATGGGGGGGGGGGGATCATTGGGAAGCCAGCAGCTTGCTGTCGTCGTGGATGCCATTAGTAGTGGCCCTCGGGTAAAGATGGCGTGAATCATGTGTGCACAGAGGCCCACATCAGTAGTGGAGCAAGTGTAACACATACTCATGACATGGCCATCCCTAATGTTATTAATGACCACCCACTAATATTATATTACAGTGCTTAATGTACATGTAATATTATATAATACCTGGAGCATACCTCGAGAGGGTCTTGACAGTTCTTCTACTCCCAGTGCCCAGCCTCAGGCCAGACTAGACTAATGCTAATAATGTTGTCTGTATTGTACTTGTGAATTTTGAAGCCTGTGAGTTAGAAGGTTTGTAGCCTGATATGTTGTTATGAAGATATACCTGGAGAAGCTCATCAAGGCATACGGGGGACTTTCGATAAGCTACCGGCTTCCTATCCTCGTCGAAGCCACCGAGGTTGGTAGCCTCGGGTAAAATGTCCAGCTACCAGCTAGAAACATATTGCTATTTGCATCTCCCTGAATTTTTTAATATACAATTACTGTACTTGTAGTTTATCTGCACACTGGAGAATAGTGCTTGATGAGAACATTGTAACCAACATTATATGTAATATTCACATGTCATATACAGTATAAATACTATAATGTGCTAAAGACAGCTGTGTAGGCTATAATGTGGCAGTCAGCCTATGTGGGGAAGCCCGCTTGCCTCTGCCTATCATGGGTCATCAGAAAGTATGTTTGTTTGGCATGGGCCTAATTATAAGTTTTATTCTTACATTTGAACCTGGTTAGGTAGTGTTTGATATGAGAAAATCCATAGGAGCTGTGATGAGGATTAGAACCTATGCGATGGATGTTCCCACACACGACCTAGCTGACTAGGGTGTGTGCGTGAGAGTCCCATCGCATAGGTTCGAATCCTCATCACGGCTTCTACGAATTTTCTCGTCAACACATCACGTTTGTGTGATTACTTTCAGTGTAGTGTTTGATATAGCCAGCAGTGATACATATTTTAGTGAATCTTGGAATATTTACGAGTACTGAGACTAAGGTGGATTGTTTCTGATTGCCTTAATTAATTCTACAATATCAGCACTACTTAATATAACTGCACCATTGTCATTGTGTGTGTTAACTGTACCCTACATTACTTCTCTTCCACTGTGACAATTATACTGTTTGCATCTAGTCACAGTCTTTTAGTTATTCCTTTTTCTAGCATATTGTTTTAGAAGTTCACCTGAGAAAATTAGTAGGAGCTGTACTGACAAAACAAGATATTGCAGCAGGAATAGTTAAAATGCTGCTTGTAACACAAACACCGAGCAAAACTTAGAGAATTCTGAATATTTAAACAAAGATACACAATCGGGTAAAAATAACAAAACCTACGTCAACAATGAATTTTACAAATGAGAAACCTTCCAGTTTGTAGCTTACAATAAGTTATGTACCCTCGTAAAGAAACACTTTCTTACAAAATTTGTAAAGTTTATATGAAGAACATAAGAATAAAGGAAACTGCACGACTATTGGTCCATATGAGGCAGCTTCTGTTTATACCAGACGCATTCATTCAAATGTGTCTAACCTACACGTGATACAATGCAGTGTTTCCCCATTTATTATCTTCCACGGCAATTTCTTTCATAAATTAACTACAAACCTACATTTACCAAAATCTTTTCAAATAAAATTTACATTTTTATTGTATCCTGCCCAATGTTTTGCACAAATTGAACTATTGAGCTGAGAGTATCTAAAGATGGCATTTGCAAAAACTTGTAAACAAAATGACTGATGCATGATCTTAGCGCAATATTTGATGAACACTGTGATCAGGAAAAGAACAAGTAAACAAATTTGTAATTTAATTGTAAAGAAGTTAGTATATAAACAGGAAAATAAATCATTCCATCATTCATCATATGATACGTACCATCAAGTTATTAAGTAACCAACCACATATAACAAGGGAAACTACTTAACACACTCAGACTAGAATACTCCATACAAAATGTCAATTAACTGCAATGTTTATAGTCAGAAATATCCAATTGATAACATTATATTTATGGTACTTAAATTTTATTTTAAAATGCATTTAGTATGTGTAAATCTAAGATATATTTAATGTATATAACAGATGTGTAAATCCCATGCAAATTATCAAGGTACAGTACTCAAATAAAACATATATTATAAAATATTGTAATATTAGCACCTACTTACTTATTTCAGATGCCTAATATCATTACCAAAATGTTAACAAGAATTTGATTGGTATATATTATATTAAAAAATTGATGATAATGAAATGACACACTCAACCTCTCTTCAATGTTCTAGTAAAAATCTAACATATAAAAACATACACATTTCTTCACAACAAACCTTAATCCAAAACACTTGGCCTCTTTAATACTCTCACATTACACTATTTACACTTGATACAATGAAAATGACAATGTGCAATGAATTATGGTTTAGTCTAATCTTTTGATTTTATGCACTATGATATTTAGGGGGAGGAATTTCCACATAGCGAGAGGGAACCTGTAGCACCACGAAAACATCGTTGGCAAAGACTCTGTGAAATGGGGCTGGACTTCTATGGAACAGTCGTGGACAGAGTGATGGCTTCTGTCTATTTTGTGGCTCCTCGACATCCCAAATGTCGACCATGCCACAACCAGGTCGACTCTTACGAATGCACCATGACTCTTCTAGTACCACATAGTTCACCTTCATAGAGAGAAGAGTTTCATACACACTTTCTGCAGACCTTCGACTAAAAATACCATATACCTTCTTAGTCCTTTCTCTGAGGCCAACGTGTTCATAATGAGGATGATTAACTATAGGTCTCTGAGTGGAGAGGAGAAGATTAGCCATAGTGGACATAGGACCCGCAAACACAGCGTCTTCATGCGTTTCCGACTGAACCCATTCAATCAATTCCTCCAGTTCAGGGTTGCTGTATTCTCCTACAATAGATCTCTGTTCACTAATATTTTTGAATCCTCGCACACACATTCCACTCACTAGCACTGCCAAAATGGCAACATGAATTTCCTTCCGTTCTATTATTTTCCAATACTTCTTGCAAGCAAGTAATGAAGCAACAACACACAACTGCGGAGTTAGAAAAAGTTTCAAGCGCATTATAAGACTTGCCATCACAGCATACACAGTTAACATAGCACCATTAAATATGACTCCAGGGTCAATTCCAGACCAGAGAGAAGTTTTCACTTCCGTTTCTTCTATTCGTTGTATCATGTTGTTTTTAATTTTGGTTAGGGTGTTGACTAATACAGAGCCTCCAACCAGGAAAACACAGGGTATAAGCAATGTTTCATTCATTTTATACAATGATTCTTGAGGAAGAAAGGCAAACTCCGGAGAACATGTATAAAGAAGTGTATGGAAATCCGAGTAATTGGTAAATTTGGCTCTCAAAATGTTTATTATATGAGCATCATCTTCAATACCAAATATCCGTGATAACTCGAGCTTACAGGCTGTAGAGGAAATAAATAGGAATGCTAACTGGACACCCATGTTGGTGGGGAATGGCAAATGCTGAATGATTGGCTCCATAAAAAGATATAAGAGCAACACTCCCAGCAGACATCCCGCTAAAGGTGACGAAACGAGCATTGTGTTTCCAAATTGCAGCACCACATTGTTCAAAAAACCATAAGATATGCCCAAAAGTACTAACAACATTGGTAAAGGGTTAATAATACCTATTGTATACATAACGTATATTATTCCGACTACAGCCACCACTGTGAACTGAGCAAACTGCCAGCACAAGAGGTATGCCAAGGTCAGCACGCCAAGTATCAGCGGACGGGTCCAAACTGGTCGTGGAGCACGCACAACATGAGTGATGGCAATATTCAGAGCGATACTCCATGGGAAAGCAAAGCTCTCTCTCAAAGGTGGTGCCCACTGTATGCGCGTAGCCTCACCATGGTTAAAAAAGAAACAAATTATTGTGAGGAAGCCACCAAGAAGGTCGCCGCTGAGTTCAGTCCCTTGAATAAAGAGGAAAGCCGCCGTGAGACCAGCGCTTGCCCATACTCCTGCTAGATACCAGTATGCTGGGTCACCAAGACCTTCACAGCTGATGACTGGAGCAAGACCTCCGCCTCTGCTTACCTGCCAACACACACGCATCTCTAACCCCATCCAAGAAGTTACAGCACTAAAAATTCGGTATGTACCACCAAGGACAAGCTGAAAAAAAAGATAACGATTGGGTGTTAACATAGTTTTACAGACACAAAAATATGCACATAATAATTCCTACTGTCAGAGACAGGAAGCCTATGCTTATCGAGGAGTCCCTGAGCCATTTACTGACCTTCTCTAGGATACAACCCACAACAGTTGGCTAACTCGGGTATCTATTAACTACTAGACAAAGAGGAGCATCAGATTTTAAGGAAACTTGCCCAACCGTTTTTGTCCCACCAGTGACTGAACAAGATTGCCCCTTGACTGAGTAGAAGACATAACTATTGTGCTGTGTAGCATTAGTGTTTGAATCAATGATCACAAATGTAATTCATATTCATTTCAAAATGAACAGGTTAATAAAATATTCTCTACATGGCTATACAGAAGAGCAATCATGCTTGGCCACTACTATTATTCCCAGAAGCATTTCAAGCAGTATATAAAAGAAAATATTACTATATTCTCTACCTTGACTATTAAAGTTCAAGAGGTCAGGGCCTGCTAAAAATGTGAAAAATATTTTGTGAAATGTTTCACATATCTGTGAAACATATGTGAAAATGGCTCTGGGGTATTGCAACACTTTGGTACAGAGTATATGAATTTAAAATCAATATTAACATAATTATGGGCACACACAGAAATCACAATAACATGATATATCAAATGAACAAATCCACAAGGGCCTTGATGAGGGACCGAATCTGTGTGTTCCCAGACGCGCATTAGTCAAAAAGACGCCAAGGAGCGCCTGGGAACACTCAGCGCATAGGTTCGAGCCCTCATCAAGGCCTGTGTGAATTTGATCATTATGGGTATTATTGCCCCCCCCCTCTCCCATAGCGGGTACACGGATGCTTTTCACTTGCCAATGCTAAGCGTAATTTTTTCTAACCATCCCAATTTTAGGTAATAAATTAGAAAGCAGCATTTATTGGTAATATTCTGGTGCTGCATTTCTCCTGACTTTTGTGTACAGTGAGGCTTCCACTTACGATGGTAATCAGTTACCAGAGATGTATTGTAAGTTGAAATATCGTAAGTCAAAATGAATTTTCCCAAATGAAATAATGGGAATTAAATTAATCCGTTCCACATTCCCCAAAAAACCAGCGTTGAATGTAATGAAACGTCATTTTGTGAGCGAGACCCGGAAGCTCCCCAGGGTTATTCAGGCTGATATGCTAATGTCAGACTTTGGCATTAGTCATGTGTATGGAGTTCTTTGGGCCTACCGAGGACCACGGCCAGAACCGGGCCCCCTCAGAGAGGCAAGGGGAGCAATGACCTATAGAAGCCCCCGTGTGGTTGGAAGCATTCTATGTCTGTCATCGACCAGGTGACAGAAAATTATCTGTCCATCTAAAACCATCCCCCCAGAAAATTAACTTCACAGAAAATTTTATACCTAATTCACCCAAATCTTTAGTACTAAAGTATGTACTAGTTATTGCTTACCTTTACTGATGACTCTTGGTGGCATATAGAAGACTGTGAGGAGGAGGAGAGGTGTTAGTGTTTGGAACGAGAGTCCCTTTCCATTATTACATCAGGCAGATTTTTTTTTCAATTTTTTTTAATTCTTTTTTGTTTTTTTCATGTTTTTTCATTTTATTTTATAGAAAATGGAGCAGACTAAAGTCCTGAGATCCACTGAACAAACCTTTTAGACATTTTTTCTGTATTTTTTCAAATTTTTTCATTCTGTTTTTATTTTTTATTTTTTTATATTTTTTTATAGAAAATAGAGCAGCCTACCTGACATCCTCTGAATGAACCTTTTAGACATTTTTTTTTATTTTTTTTATAGAAAATGTAGCAGCCTACCTGACATTCACTGAACGAACCTTTTATACACTTTTTCCTCTTTTCAAATTGTTTCAATATATCTGTAGTGATGCATCACAGTGTCATTGAAAAGGTTAAGGCAACGGCCTACTGCAGCTTGATTTGGGCGAGTCATTTCAGCAAAAGCTTGCAGTTCTTCCCATGTTGCACACATTTTCATAATAAATGAGGAACGGACATCCTTTACATCAACAACCCTCATACCATGAACAAATCCACAAGGGCCGTGACGGGTCATTGGTCTCCATGAAATTGGTGACTTGACTCCTAATCACTTTAAAACACTTTTATTATGTGGGACGTTAGTGAAACTGGTCTATAATTCTTTGCCAATGCTTTGCTCCCTCCCTTGTGTAGGAGCTATGTCTGCTGGTATCTGCCTATGCTACTGGCACCTTGCACCACAACACACACACCAGCCCCTCCACAACACACACACCAGCCCCTCCACACCACACACTCCAGCCCCTCCACAACACACACACCAGCCCCTCCACAACACACACACACCAGCCCCTCCACAACACACACACACCAGCCCCTCCACAACACACACACCAGCCCCTCCACAACACACACACCAGCCCCTCCACAACACACACACACCAGCCCCTCCACAACACACACACCAGCCCCTCCACAACACACACACCAGCCCCTCCACAACACACACACCAGCCCCTCCACAACACACACACCAGCCCCTCCACAACACACACACCAGCCCCTCCACAACACACACTCCAGCCCCTCCACAACACACACACCAGCCCCTCCACAACACACACACAGCCCCTCCACTCCACACACACACACCAGCCCCTCCACAACACACACACCAGCCCCTCCACAACACACACACCAGCCTCCACAACACACACCAGCCCCTCCACAACACACACACCAGCCCCTCCACAACACACACCAGCCCCTCCACAACACACACACCAGCCCCTCCACAACACACACACCAGCCCCTCCACAACACACACACCAGCCCCTCCACAACACACACACCAGCCCCTCCACAACACACACACCAGCCCCTCCACAACACACACACCAGCCCCTCCACAACACACACACCAGCCCCTCCACAACACACACACCAGCCCCTCCACAACACACACACCAGCCCCTCCACAACACACACACCAGCCCCTCCACAACACACACACCAGCCCCTCCACAACACACACACCAGCCCCTCCACAACACACACACCAGCCCCTCCACAACACACACTCCAGCCCCTCCACAACACACACACCAGCCCCTCCACAACACACACACCAGCCCCTCCACAACACACACACCAGCCCCTCCACAACACACACACCAGCCCCTCCACAACACACACTCCAGCCCCTCCACAACACACACACCAGCCCCTCCACAACACACACACCAGCCCCTCCACAACACACACACACCAGCCCCTCCACAACACACACACCAGCCCCTCCACAACACACACACACCAGCCCCTCCACAACACACACACACCAGCCCCTCCACAACACACACACACCAGCCCCTCCACAACACACACACCAGCCCCTCCACAACACACACACACCACATGCTAGAAAATTGCAAAGGGATGAGGATGGGAAAGGGTGGTCGTTAAGACGAGATCGTTCAAAAGAAGATAGAGAGAAGCTGAAACTGAACCTCGCCGAGGCAAAACATTTAAATGAGAGCAGGAATGAAGAAGAAATAAATTCTTTTTTCTACAAAGTGATAGGGGTAGGCAAACCAGTGAAGTGGTACATAAAGGCAAACCAACAAAATCAATAGAGAGAGGGGGAGTGAAGAATAAGGAGAGGGGGAACAAGTTCCTGAAGATTGCATACACCAACATAGATGGAGTGAGATCGAAGATACTGGAGTTAAGTGATGTAATACAGCTGCAGACACCAGACATTGTTGCACTCACGGAGACAAAACTTGAAGATGAAATTTTAAATGAGGTCATATTCCCCAGGGGCTATTCAATTTGGAGACGGGACAGAAAAATTAGGAAAGGCGGTGGCGTTGCTGTGCTGGTAAAAGAACACCTAAAGGTGAAGGAAATAATGACTGCCAATCCACAAGAAGTTGACATAATAGCACTAGAGATCTGCTATGAGGATGATAAACTAATGATGATAAATGCATATAGTCCACCGCCAAGCAGCACATGGTCAAAGGAGGAGCTAGATAGTAAACGTGAAGGTCTTATAACAATAATGAGAGAGATTATAGCGAGAGCGGATAACGATAGATCACGACTGTTGATAGTCGGTGACTTCAACTTGAAATCCATAGACTGGGAAGCATATGAAGCTAAAACAGAAGATTTTTGGACCTGTAAATTTGTAGACCTCATCCTGGAAACATTCTTGTATCAACATGTTAAACAAGCTACGAGGATGAGGGAAGGGGACGTTCCCTCCATGCTAGATTTGATATTTACCAGGAAGGAGGAAGAGATATTTGACATTCAGTACCTTCCTCCCTTGGGTAAAAGTGACCATGTCTTTTTGGGAATAAAGTATGCAATGCGTTATAAGCTGGAAGAAAATAAGGAGGTTGAAGCAGTTGAAAAACCAGACTTCAGGAGAGGACATTATGGTGACCTTAGAAATTTTTTAGTGAGTATAATTGGACAGACTTGATGCTAGGCAAGGAAGTGAATGAGATGTATGGCAAGTTTGTGAAATATATGATAAAGGCATAAAAAAATTTATACCAAAACAGAGATGCAGAACTAGGAAACAGGATTGGTTCAATAGAAATTGCGAGAGGGCTAGAGACCGAAAGACACAAAAATGGAATCAATACAGGAAGAGGCCGAACCCCCAAACATACCAGCGATACAAAGATGCGAGAAACAACTACACGGCAGTGAGGAGAGAGGCAGAAAGAAATTTTGAAAAAGGGATTGCGGACAAATGTAAAACAGAACCATGTCTATTCTATAAATTCATAAACAACAAATTGCAGGTAAAGGATAATATTCAGAGGTTGAAAATGGGAAATAGATTCACGGAAGATGAAAAGGAAATGTGTGAAACACTAAACGAAAAGTTCCAAAGTGTGTTTGTACAAAATGAAATCTTTAGGGAACCAGATACAATAAGAATTCCAGAGAACAACATAGAACA